TAGGCCCACTCCCCCCCCCCCCCCCCCGCCCAGCACACAAATTTTCATGTACTGGGCCTCTAGTTATATATAAAAGAATACATATTTTCAAACATGAATCTTACAAACATAGATTAAAGCCTCAACATCGTTTGGAGGGACACAAGTTTTTTAAAAAATATTTTAAAATTGATTTTAGGGAGGAAGGGAGAGAGCGAGGCGGGGGGGAATGAGGGAGGGGGAGAGAGAGAAGAGGAGAAGAAGAGAAGAGAGAGAGAGAGAAACATCAATTGGCTGTCTCCTGCACGCCCCCCCCTACTGGGGACTAAAACCACAACCTGAGTATGTGCCCTGACCAGGAATTGAACCATTGACCTTTTTTTTTTTTTAAATATATTTTTATTGATTTTTTTACAGAGAGGAAGGGAGAGGGATAGAGCGTTAGAAACATCTATGAGAGAGAAACATCGATCAGCTGCCTCCTGCACACCCCCTACTGGGGATGTGCCCGCAACCAAGGTACACGCCCTTGACCGGAATCGAACCTGGGACCCTTGAGTCTGCAGGCCGACGCTCTATCCACTGAGCCAAACCGGCTAGGGCGAACCATTGACCTTTTGGTGTACAGGACAATGCTCAACCAACTGAGCACCACTGGCTAGGGCGAGGGACAAAAGTTTTAATTTCTCATGTTCATATATATGATTTAAAAAATCCTTTGTTGTCACATGTGGGCAGCTGTGACAAAAGAGGGAAAACATTTTATAAAAACTCTTATACCTGGAAGTTTAGCTGCTAAATGAATCTTTGAAATTTTCAAGTTAATTTACTCTACTTCTTTTGAGCTTCTTTGTTACTTTTGTTATTTTTTTCTCCTTGAAATACCTTGTAATAGCATAGGGAATATAGTCAATAATATTGTAATAACTATGTATGGTCCTAGGTGTGTACTAGAATTACCAGGAGGATCACTTCATAAATTATGCAATTGTCTAACCACTGTGCTGTACGCCTGAAACTACACACACACACACACACACCCCTCTCTTGCCCTGGCTGGTTTGGCTCAGTGGATAGAACGTCGGCCTGTGGACTGAAGGATCCCAGGTTCGATTCCAGTCAAGGGCACATGCCTGAGTTGCAGGTTTGATCCCCAGTAGGGGGCGTGCGGGAAACAGCCGGTCAATGATTATCTCTCATCATTGATGTTTCCATCTCTCTCCCTCTCCCTTCTTCTCCAAAATCAATAAAAATATATTTAAAAAACAAAACAAAAAAAACCTCTTATGCTAAATGTTCAACCGATTGGTCGACCGTTCAGTCGACCACTCGACCAATCCCTATGATGTGCACTGACCACCAGAGGACGGACGCTCCGACCGGTAGGTTAGCTTGTTGCTGGGGTCAGGAAAGATAACAATTCCTGACCTTTACTTGTGGAAAATAAATAATAAAAAAACATAAAGCACATATGTAAATATGTTGAAATGACGGAACTTTTTTTTTATAAATGGAGATGGCGATGTAACCACCAAACGACGTACATCGAGTCCGACGTAACCCAAGGACTGTCTGTAATACTGAATGTCAACTGTAATTGGAAAGAAATATATATATATATATACACACACACACACACACACAAATGTATATATATACACACATATACATAAATGT